GCTGATTGGTTTCTAGGCAGAGCTGTACCAGGCCAACCCCACTAACTGGCACTGATATAAAAAAAAAAAATCCTGCCCAAAATATACTGATCATGACCTTTGACCCTTACTCGACTCAAACACCAACCCTGGCACTGACCTAGATCAAACCTTGAGCTACTTATTTATTTTTTCACGCTTTTGTTTATTTACATCTTTCTCCCATGGGGTCAGTTCACTGAGGCACACTTGAGTGATTTGTAGCTTGAGTGCCCATTCACATATATGCGGTTTGAACCGCTTTCAATCCACATGATGTGTGAAAAACATTGCTTCCTATGGTGCCTGTTCCTATATGTCCAGTGCACTGACGGTGCGGGTTGAGTGCGGTTTTATAAAGAGTCATGTCCGATTTCTGAGCACTGCGGTCTGGTTCAGGTGCAGATCACAGGCTATTGATTTATATGGGAACTGTTTCTAAACTGCATGTATGTGAGCAGGATATGATCCTGAGCTAATCCTGATGTGAATTTGTGAACAATTACTGTATCAATTAGCTGTGAAACCTGAGCTTTAATCTGCACCGCACGTGTAATTCAGCTCCTACGCTCAAAAAATGCTCACTTAAAAAAAAAATAAATAAAAAATAAACAAATTAAAACAAATTAAAATATATATCAATTTTTCTCTATGGTGCTTGTTCACACCTGATCCTGCAAACAGGCACAATAGAGAACAATCGTTTTTTTAAGTTTGCGCATTTTTGGAGCTTCATGCTTCATGCTACAAATTGCTCAAGTTTGAAAGCAATAACTAATTATAAACAAGTACTAAATCAGGGTATATAACCCCATTCAGGGGATCTCGGCAAACGATCACTTTTAAGAAGGTTTTAACAGCGGGGTACCTCCAAAACCATAGCCACAACTATAGGGGACCAAGAGAGGTCACCCCATAAGAGGCTTTAAAGGAGGACCAACTGTAGTGCAACCTATCAAAAATGGCTTTTATTGAGATCAAAAATGTATAAAAGTGGTCAATACGACCTACAATCCTTCAATAATCATTAAAACCAGGTCAATCACACTGCCATTCATACACTAGATCAAATTTCATGGTGTTACGTAGCAAGCTGTCAGTCCAAGGCACGGATGGAGAGGGAATCACTCAAGTTTGAATGCAGTCTAAGGCCCCTTTCCGACCGGGCAGACTCCATCAAGCAGATCCGCCTGCTATCCCTGCTGAGCAGGCGAATGACAGGCCGATGTCCGCCCCACTATGCAGAGCGGACACCGCCCACTGTTTTCTAAGGAGCGGTCCTTTTCCATCCGACTGTCATCTGATCCCCATCCTTCCGTTTTTAACAGACATGATTGGATTAGATGCTGGCGGGTGTCGGCAGACACATGTCCACTGATACCCGCTGCTCCATAGAGAGCTATCGATGGTCTGATTGGTCCTGAAAAACTGACAGGTGGACCCGATCGGACAGTCAGTGTGAAAGGGGCCTTAAGGTTACTACATGTGATACAAAGGTCACGTGATTCATTTTTCTGAAATATCAGCTGAGATAAATCAGTTCATCAAAGTAAAATATCGAAAGTGAGGTAAATACGGCACAGTTGTATAAAATGGAGAGATAAATACTGCGAAAAAAAATTGAGAAATCATTAGTCAATTCACTAAAAAGCATACAGGTTCTGTATTTATCACCTGATGTTTGGTGGCGGTATTTTAGAAATGTAAAAATGAGGAGAACTCTCCACTGCCCAGAATGTTAAGTGTACAGTGTGGAAATGTTCTCTGAGCTCAGGAATGTAAATAAATTGTAACATTTCATCAGAGGGAGATCATTTTGTGAATGAAAGCACACTACAATGTTTTCATAGTTTCACAATATCGCTGTGTGCCTTCAGGTGCTGTGTTAGCCTGCAAAAAAACCCAAAGCCCTAAGGCTCCATTCACACGGGGGGTTTTAATACTGCCGGTAACATTAGCTGTGTAAAGTCGTGTTAAAAACGTGAGTTTTGTAGTGTTTTTGTATTAGCGTTTTGCTGCGTTTTCAGCGTTTTTTATTTTGCTAAGAAAAGTCCAAAAACGCAGTTTTGCTGTATTTTTCAGCGTTAGAGCATTTTTACAGCTAAGAAACTCCTAGAAACCCACTAGTCCTGGTTTGTTTTGTTTTGTTTTTTTTTTTGTTTTTTTCTTTTTTCCAGCCAAAAAACAACCCCTGCCAAAAAACATTGATTACAGTCTGTGTGCATGGACACATAGGATAACATGCTGCGGAGTTTACTGGCTATAGGAAAAACCGCCAAAAGCAGCAGCTGTAAAAACGTCCAGTGTGCATGAGAATTAAAGATAATGCAAAATTTAAGCACTAAATCGCAAAAAATAAATAACTCATTCGGTAAATAACGCATGGTTTTTAGTGAATTGACTACTTTTGAGATAAATACTACATGAGTTAAACACTTGCACTCTGGAAGATTTACCCCCCCCCCCCCCTTCCTGACCAGGCCATTTTTTTGGTGTTCAGCACTGCGCTATTTCAACTGGTAATTGTGGGGTCATGCAACACTGTACCCAGATTAAATTCTTTTTTTTTCCTCACAAATAGAGCTTTCTTTTGGTGGTATTTGATCCCCACTGGGTTTTTTTTTTTTTGTGACATGAACACTACTTTCAGTCACAAAGAATATCCGATAAACTCTGTTAGTAATAAATTCAGGCCAAAATGTCTTCTGCTACATGTCTTTGGTGGAAAAAAAAATCCCAATACATGCATGTTACTTGGTTTGTGTGAAAGTTATGTCTACAAACTATGGTATATTAACCACTTGCGTCCAGATGATTTACCACCCCCCCCCTCTTCCTGAGCAGGCCATTCTTTGCGTTTTGGCGCTATGTTACTTTAACTGACAGTTGCACAGTCATGCAACAAATTAAATTTACGTCCTTTTTTTTCCCATGCATTTAGTTTTTTTTCGGTGGTATTTGATTGCCTGTGCATTTTTTAAATAATTTTTTTTGCACTATATAAAAAAAAAAGACTGACAATTTTGAGAAAAAAACAATATTTTTGAATTTTGCTATTAAGCATGTCCAGTTAAAAAATTTTAATCAAACGTCTTCATAAATTTAGGGCAAAATGTATTTTCCTACATGTCTTTGCTAAAAAAAAAAAAAAAAATCCCAATATGTGTAAATTAATTAGTTTACGTGAAAGTTATAGCGTTTGCAAACGGCAGTATATATACTGGATTCTTTATTTTTTACTAATGTCGGCGATCGACTTATAGCGGGACTGCAGCGGGGAACTGACTTGGTGTCACTGACATCCCCAGTGACACCAGTACAGTGATCAGTGCTGCAAAAAAAAAATCACTGACACTGTAGTAATGGCACTGGGCAGGAAGGGGTTAACGGTGATCAAAGGGTTAACTGTGTTCTGTTTCACTATGTTCTGTGTCCGTGTGCTTCACTGTAAGCACACTGCTTTGCTTATAAAAAGATGAGGTTGCACCGAGTAAATAGATATTCAACTTGTCAAACTTTAAGTTTGTGCACGCTCCTGAAATGACGACAAGCTTCAGTACCCTATATTTTCAATAGGTCGATACTTTAAAGCTCCTTTTTTTTATAGGTAATCAGTTTAGAAATAAGGAGTATGTCTGATGCTAGAATTATTTCTCTCATTCTGGCGTGCGCAGTGATATGTGATATGTTTTATTGCAATTGACGTTTTCACGCATAGGCGCCCCAGCGTGTATATGTGGGGGTGAGAGGCCTCTATTTTTTGGGGGGATGGTATGTGCTTGGGTGTAACTTTCATTTCTTTTACAATCAATAAAAAAAAAGTTGTTTTTTATATACATAATCACGTAGGGGACCCTGCATGTCTCCCCTGTGCTCCACTGAATGTAATGTAGTGCACATTGCAGCACATTATTCTTTCCCAGCTTCAATGGCTGAGAATCTCAACGGGAACCTGGAAATAACATCACTTCTGGGTCAGGACAAAAAGGGGAGGGAAGCAGATGTGTCCACTCTCCTCCCTCCCCCCTAGCCGATGGCGGTGTGCCAGTCTCAGGCCCGCAGATGGACAAGCGGAGCCCGGGAGACCTCACGGGGGGTTAGGGGGACTGTCACTGTGTGGAAGCAATCGGGGCGGCAGCACTGCCGCAAAATACTTCCACCTGACAGGTGAGCACGCTGCTTTCCCAGGTTAAAGGTAGAACTACTACTACCTGTCCGACTCCTGGAACTACATGTCCTGGACGTCAGGCAATAAGGTTCGAACATCCCTGGTTTATATTTTGGACTTTGGTTACATTAACATTTATTTTGACACATATTGTGTTGATATGTTTATATTGCGCTGCACTTTTAATTGTATTAATCTTTGTTAGGGTGAGGCAAACTTCACTAGCAAGTGTCCAGCCTGCATTATATTGTGGTTCCGTTTTTTTTTTTTTTTTTTTTTTTTTTTTTTTTTTTTCCACTGGTATCTGTAAAAGTACATATTTATGCATAGTTGCGCTGATTATAAAATATTTAGAGATTTTAAACTATGGTGTGTGTGTGTGTGTGTGTGTGTATATACTGGAATTTAGGCAGCTTTTACTTTGACTGCCTATCACATTTTGTGAGGTGCTAAAATGCCAGTGCATTACAAAGACCCCCAATTGACCCCTTTTTTGGAAAGTAGACAACCCAAGGAATTTACTGAGGCGTATTGAGTCCATGGAAGATTTTATTTTTTTGCCACAAATTGAAAAAAAAATTTTTTTTCCTTTTTAATGCATAGAATGTATTAACTAATTGCCGACCGCAGATAGCTGAATGACGGCTGCACTGCGGCCGGCCAGTTCTGGGTGGACGTCGTATGACGTCCTCCCAGAACGCACTCTCCTGCGCGCCCCCCGGGGCGCGCACCCGGCGATCTCCGTGATCGCTGTGTCCTACAGACACAGCTGATCACGTGACGTGGTAAAAGGCCAATCACAGCGGACTTTTAGCACGTGATCAGCCGTGTCCAATGACACGCTGATCACCGGGAAATGCAAATGCCGGTTCTCGGCTGCACTTTCCTCACGCTGTCAGATCGTGAGGAAAGTACTGCCGAAAACCGGCAGTTGTCAGCGGGGATCGGCACCGATCATCAGGGTCACTGATCACCAGTGCCCTGATGATCGGTGCCCAGCAGTGCCACATACAAGTTCCGCTCACCTGTGCCACTCAGCAGTGCCACCCACCTGTGCCACTCAGCAGTGCCACCCACCTGTGCCACTCAGCAGTGCGCCCACCTGTGCCCAGAAGTGCCACCCACCAGTGCCCAGCAGTGCAGCCGAGCAGTGCTGCCAGTCAGTGCCCAGCAGTGCTGTCTATCAGTGCCGCCTATCCGTGACACCTCATTAGTGCCGCCTATCCGTGCCGCCTATCCGTGCCCATCAGTGCTGTCTCATAAACGCACATCAGTGAAGGAGAAAAATTACCTGTTTGAAAAATTTTATAATAGAAACAAAAAAACTTTACTTTTTGTGCTATAAGCAATAAAAGTGCAAAAAATTTTGAAAAAAAAACAAAGTGCCCAGCAGCGATTAAATACCACCAAAAGAAAGCTCTATTTGTGAGAAAAAAATGATAAAAATTTCATATGGGTACAATCTTGCATGACCGCGCAATTGTCAATCAAAGTGCGACAGTGCTGAAAGCTGAAAATTGGCCTGGGTAGGAAGGGGGTATAAGTGCCCGGTAGGCAAGTGGTTAAGGTAAAAACCTCTTCTGCCTTTACAATCACATTTAAACCACTTCCTTCTCCTGCCTAGGACTTCATGCTCCTCACACATTCACATGTTATCAGGCACTTACTGACTTGTTGTCTCGATAATGAGCCAACTAATTGATAATGAAAATAGTTGACAACTTTGTCAATTAGTTGTTTCGGCTCTATAAGAAACATTGGGCTTTTAATACTAACTTATTGTGGATGAATAACATTTAGGCCTCATTCACATTGGATGTCAAAAATGCTACTTTTAGGGGGGGGGGTTTTGCCTATAAACACACATCTGTTAGCCTATGTGTCCTTGCATACGTGGGCACTTACAAGCATTTAGAGGTAGAAAATAAATCACTTGTGCGTTCAGGAGAGGAGTGGTTTGCCACAAAAAACACCAACCCATCTAATTGCACCTAAGCACTAGGAGCGTTTGGCTCTTAAGTGTTCATTCCAGTGGCCAGAATAAATGATTATTCTGGCCAGTGGAATGAATGAACACCTAAATGCTTGACGCACCAAAACGCATTTGTAAAACGTGGCTTTAGGCATGTTCTGTAATGCTGCTTTTTCCTTCCCTGGAACAAAAGTGTCCAGCAGAGGAAAAAATGTCCTGTGTGCATGAGGCCTTGGGGTCCACTCATACAAGTGGCTGCACTAGAACACAGCCGCTGGTGTTTCGTAGTATGTTGTGGGCAGATGCATGTCAAAACGCGCAGTGTATGTTTGGGTGCCGTTCATCCTGAGTGCCACCCCAAATATGGTGCGAGTTTTGCCACGCAGTAAAACGCACATGTAAAATCGTGTGTGGGCTCAGGGTCATAAATTGGTCCCTGAGCTTCATTGAGAACTGAGACACTTTATCATTTTATTTTAAACACTCACACCAAAGTGTGAGTCCCACCAATAGCGGTTCAGAAAAGGCGTAACGTAAAAATGTGGAGAATAGAATGGTGAATGAAACCGCCACTGCAGTCCACTGTGTGGAGGAGATCAGGGATGGATGAGAGAACTCCGCAGCTTAGGCACGTCAGATCAGGGATGGATCCAAAGCAACATGTGAGGAGATGCAAAGTAACTAGAGCGCAGGAGTGAGTTAAAACATAGCATTTATTTATGTCCTCCTGGTTCCCGCCCAGCTGTCATTTTTAAATTCACCGGCTGTTAAAGTGTATCTAAAGACAAAACTTTTTTTTTTTTTGTTTTAGTTTTGCATATAGTAGAGAGGGATTAGAATGTTCAGGTGAAGCTCCTTAACAGGTCTGTGCCCCTGTTAAGGAGATTCACCCTCTCTATTTTTCCTGTTTGCTATTATTGAAAGTAAAATAAAATTTGACATTTTTTAGTTGTCCCCAGACAAGTAATACAGGGGAAATCTTCCTATGGGAACATGGGGTGTCCAATAAGAATTCTCATAATTTGCAGGGATTTCCAGTTCCAGTGAAGGTAACTCTTTTTAAGGCATCAGAATACAAAGACATTATGGGCCATTTCATGCTCCTAACTTTGTGGTAACAGTTTAGGGATGGCTCCTTCCTGTTCGAACCTGACTGTGCACCAGTGCACATAGCAAGGTCCATAAAGACATGGATCAGTGAGTTTGGGGTGGAGGAACTTGAATGGATTTCAGAGTCCTGACCTTAACCCGATAGAACACCTTTGGGATGAATTAGAGCGGATACTGCGAGCCAGGCCTTCTCATCCAACATCAGTGCCTGACCTCACAAATGCACTTCTGGAAGAATGGTCAAACAATCCCATAGACCAGGGGTGGGCCACTGTGGCCCTTCAGCTGTTGATGAACTACAAGTCCCATCATGCCTCTGCCTTTGGGAGTCATGCTTGTAACTGTCAGTTTTTGCAATGTCTCATGGGACTTGTAGTTCTACAACAGCTGGAGGGCCACAGTTGCCCTCCCCTGCCATAGACGCACTCCTAAACCTTGTGGACAGCCTTCCCAGAAGAGTTGAAGCTGTTCTAGCTGCCAAGGGTGAGCCAACTCAATATTGAACCCTACAGACTCAGATGCCATTACGTTCATGTGTGTGTAAAGGTAGGCGTCCCAATACTTTTGGCAATATAGTGTATCCTTCCCATTACATCCAAGCAGCACTTCACTATCTTTTGGATATTTGTTTTATAATAAATGCTATTCTGTTTTAACTTACTCCTATGCTGTGGTTGCTTTGTATCTCTTCATATTTGGTGGGAATGGGCTTCCCTATGTGCTGCATGTGGAAATGTGTGTGACTCACTACACTATATATGAACATAAGTGACATTTCATTAAGTCCTATTGGCTGCAGCGCAGTGTAAGGGATTGGTGGATTGTGTCACACTGCGCTGAAAAAAGTACTGTATGCGCACTTTGATTTTTCAGCGCACACTACCACAACGTGGAGATGTGAACTGGCTACTTAATAGATGAGGCAATTTGTCTTATCTTGTGGCAAAACTGCTTTGGAATATTTACCCAACACAGTTCTCTTGCATTTGTGAAGAGGTTAGGGTTGTACTGATATCTGTGCCAATACAAATGCTCCAATACCTGAAACCGATACATTTGCAGTGCGATTTAAGCCCATACAAAATGAATGGACCAAATCACACTGCAAAGAATAGCATGTGATTTGAACTGAAATCATGCTACTTCAGCTGAAGCGATGTGATTCTTGTCAGAATCGCATGTGGTTTCCCTGTGGGTGCAGTGCGATTTGAGTCATTTATTTTGTATGGTTCAAATCGCACTCCACCCACAGGGAAAATGCATGTGATTCAGACAGGAATCCCACCGCATTCCTGTTCAAATCGCATGCAATTCTTTGTAGTACTATTTGAGCCAATTCATTTTGTATGGGCTCAAGTTGTACTCCAAAGGTTTTGGTGAGTACAATTCTAGAAGAGGTTTTTACTTTTGCTAAAACAGATATTTTCCATTTCTATTACATTATTGCTTTGAACCAGCTTCCTGATAGTGATCGTGGTACGCCATGTCTCTGTCAACACAACTGTATGTTGTCCCCATCAGGTGCATGCAATGAAGGAGAATGGGGAGACAGATGTCACCATATAAGAGAAAGTGCTTGTACAAGAACCAAGGATCAGAAGAGGTGTTTTTTTTTTTGGTTTAGAAACCAATAATACACTTGTTTAATATATATTTATAGTTACTGGGTTTAACCATACGTTCAGGAAATACGAAATGGTCACTTATTAGAAAGCTTTGAATTTAGGCTTCTTTCATGCCCTTTTTTATCTGTTTGAACCATTTGTGGCTGGCATTAATGTGTTTGGCCTTATGCTGCCCCATCGCCCACACAGTTTTCTGCTTCATTATCCATGTCTTTCCAACCTTCTCTTCACACTTGCTTTGAAAGGATGAATAAGATTAACCTTTCATCCTTCAAAGCCCCATGTTGACTCCTGCCTTTGTACTTCCATGATGAGCGATCTTTATAGTAAAGAAGTACCAGAGCTTGCCTGTCTGTGAGGATTAAAAAAAACTTGTTTTCTCTTTCTTTCACCTTGTTAATAGCGAGTGCTACACACTGATGCGCTTTTGTCTATGTTGGGCTTAGTTTATACAGAGGATTTTTAATCTGTTTGAGATGAACTTGTTTGGGAGAGAATTTTCCTCTGGGATAATAATATAATCAATGTATATGTATTTTTGCAATAAAAGGTTAATTGCCTGCTTTTTTTATTTTCTTAAAGTTGAACTCAGTCTGTGACACCTTTTAACTGTGATGTTGCCTCCTCTAGCACTGTATGGGTTGAATTCTCATTTGATCAAGGGATTTATGAACAAACATTGATACTTAGACGAATTCCAGGTAGTAGTAGTGGCTGGTCTAATGCATTGCGAAAACAGGAAATCGGCTGCTTACCATGAGCACCATTCAGATACTGCTTTGTATTTTCTGAATGAATCCAAAGCTTTCTCTGATTGGAGAAGGTGGAGAGGCAGGCGGTGATGTCAACACAGCACTCTGAAGCAAGTAGAGAACTGCCAACACTTATTCTAATCTCCCTATACAAAACAAGGATTTAAAGCCAAAATAACATTTTTAAAGCTAAAAATTGCAAGCAGGTAGTCTTTTGGTAGAAGAGGTTTCATAAGTCTCTTCTGCCATAAAAAAAAAAAAAAACTTTGCTTAACCATTTGCTGCCCCACTACAGTACATTTACTACTGCGGGGTGTCACATGCAGGCTCAGTCGTGTGTGTGTGTGTGTGTGTGTGTGTGTGTGTGTGTGTGTGTATATATATATATATATATATATATATATATATATATATATATATATATATATATATATATATATATATATATATATATATATATATATATATATATATT